GCCCCGCCCCTCGCAGCTGAAGCTCAGGCCCCGCCCCTCATGGTGCCCCGCCCCTCATCTGTGCCGCCGCGGTCCTGAGCCACAGGTGCCTCCCCCCCACCCCCACTGCTCCCCGGAGCCCGCGATCGGGCAGCCTCTGGTCACTCGGGTCCGCCAAGTCGCAGCGCCGCACCTGCGCCCGGCCGGTGGCCTGCAGCACTCGCACCATGGCAGCCGCCAGCTCCTCCTTGGCCTGGGCAGACAGCGCGGACTCCAGCGCCCCGCAGAGGCGCGCGTAGTGGAAGGTGAGGAACTCCGCCAGCTCCTTGTAGCGCTCGGACGGCAGCACGCGCAGGCGCCGCGCCCGGATCCGCGCCCGCAGCGCCGCGCCTGCTGGCGCCCCGAGCAGCGGGAACCAGCGCTCCAGGCCCGCGGCGAGCGCGCGGGGGACGCCCAGCTCTTCCAGTGCCAGTGCCACGCGGCCCAGCGCCGCTCCCCCCGGGCCAGCTCCGCGCAGCCGCAACGACAGGCGACGCGCCAGCGGCAGCGCCTCGAAGTGGAAGCGCTCGGCCCAGAAGAGCGGGCCCGGGCCAGCCCGCGGCGCTGTGCGCGCCAGGAGAGCGCCGTCCAGCCACAGCTCGGCGCGCACGCCTGCGGACCCCGTCGCCGCTCGGGGCAGTCCCTTTGCCTCGTGCACCCACACGCTCAACCACGTCTCTTCCCGCTCCAAGTTGTCCTGCGGACCGGAGTGGGTTGGGGGAGGCGTCGGTGCTCGACGTGGGGCACCGTGCCCCCAGGGAGATCGCTGGGCCCTTGGGGGAAGACAGGGGCCACGGCGGTCTCAAGGTGGTTCTGCGAAAGCCCTCTAGCTTTTCTGGGCTCCAGGGTACGGAGGAGTAGCCGCGGGATGGGCACTTGGCCTTTGCCTGGTAGGCGGGGCTTTGGGTGCAAATAGGTCCCAGATTGAACGTCTGGGACCGGGTTGTTTTACCAGGGGCTGGTAATAGACGGAAACTGAGGAGGGTCTCGGAGTGGTTGCAAAGGTGTTAGCGGGCAGGTGTGTCTAAGAGGCAGGGTTAGGGCGCGGGCGGGGGTTTGGGTTGGGGAAAGGGCGGGGCCCGGGCTGTGGGCGGGGCCTACACGTCCAACTTATCCGCTGTACTGACCTGGCTGGGCTGGAAGTGGCGGCGAAGGTCCTCGATCCAGCGGTCTCTCTCAGCGGCGGAGCGACAAGAGAAGCAGCGGCTCCCGCCCGTCCACGTTACCTATTGGAGATGGGCATCCAAGGGTGCGGTTGAGGCCAAGGGTAGAACCAAAGGGCCGGGGTGAGGTGGAGAGTTCTCTGCATTTACCTGGAAGCAGTGGGGCTCCTCCAGGAGGCTGGAGTGCAATGGCCAGACCCTCACATCCCGCTCAGCACCCAGGTCCAGCTCGGAAAGCGTGGCCAGCGATTCCCGAGATCCCAGAGCACTGGGGGGTCTGGGGAGGGGGCGGTTGAACAAGTGGTCATTCTTCCCTCCTCCGCACCAACCCACCCCCTAGAGCCTGAAGGGTGGAGGGAGGCCAGGATGAACTTGAACCTAAATTGGACTTGAACCCATCGCTTTCAGGATAAAAACTCAACTCCTTATGGTGACCTGTGTTACCTTATATAGTACAGTCCTTGTCACCTTTTGACCACATTTCCCTCCACTTAGTCCCTTTCTCTGAACTCCAGTCATCCTGGCCTTGTTTTTGTCACTTCATCTGGCATCTGGCCTTTGTACTCCCTGTTTCCTAGCCTGGAATGTTTTTCCTGTCCCTCTTGGCCTGGTGAACTACCCATCCATCGTTCAGATCTCAGCTCAGTGGTCCCTTCGCTGACATTCCCAGCCCAGGGCGTTGACTTAGTTCCTGATTTAGAGTTAGTGTGTTAGACTCTGCCCCCACCCTTCAGCCGAGGGGTGGCTCCAGCATTGCTCTGGGGCAGGACAGAGAGGGGGCCACAGGAGGTATTTGGTGAAGGTGGGAATGATAGGCAGGTGGGGGTGGAGGGGGCAATGTTGAATTCCAGCCCCTTCTGCCCCTCAGAGACTCTTACCCATCCCGGCAGGCACTGGCTCCGAGCTCCGACCTGGCCTTTTTCTTCTCTTTCAGCCGCTTGAGCAATCCCTGTGGGAAGGATGATATCCGTGGGACAGAACCCTGTTCTCCCTCCTCAACTTCTTTTGCCCCAGGGTGACCTGGGTCATCTGCTGGTTTGGGGGGACCACAACCTCAGGCTGTTTTAGCAGTAATAATAAAGGCAACCAACATTTTGGGGGTTTTTTTTCCTTTTTTTTTTCTTTTCTAAAGCACCAATCCTATGCTTTCTCTATTGACTTCTCATAAACAGCCCCCCGGGGGGGGGTTCTCTCATTAGCTCCATTTGACTGAGAGGGACACTGAGGCCAAAAAAGTGACCTGCCCAAGATCACCCAGTAAGAGTCCCCTTTCATCTCTGAGGGTCTGGGAGTCTTTGCTCTCCCCTCCACCTCCCACTGGATGGCTCACCCGAACGTTGTGGACCTGGTTGGGGCCAGCAGCCTCTGGCTCAGTCTTTCCGGGGATCCGATCTGTAGGTGATCAGGGGTGGAAGGTTGGGGGATGGGATCATCTTGAATCTGCCCCACCTTGACATGCTACCAAATGCCCCAGCCCTCCGCACCTCTGAAACTTACCTGGATCCCTGAGGCTCCCCATGGCTACCTGGAGGCTGCCCTCAGAGCTAGCGCTCCCCACCCGGGGCCGGCGAGGACCCTGTTGTCCATAAGAGTGGGTAGTCATAAAGGGGAGGCAGGCAGGCAGACGGAAGGAGAGGCAGACACTTTCCATTATCCTCCCCCCCCACTCTTCTGTCTCCTTCCCACCCTCTTTTTCCCTCCCCTCGCCCCTGTGCCCCTTCTCACCTCCTCCTCACCCCCAAGCAGCACCAGCTTCCCATCGAGCAGGGTGAAGGCCCCAATGTTCCAGATAGGTACGTCAGGTGTGGGGGCCTCAGGGATCTGTGGGGCAGGGGTCTCTGGCTCTGGCTCAGGCTCTGTGCAGAGGAGTAGGTGCTGGGGACGTGGGAGTCCTTTCCTCTCCCTCAGAGGACCCTCTCCATTCAGAGAGGCTCATCGGGCGTTCCTTCCCAGGTGTCTCCTCTCGCCTCAACCCCAGCCCACCCAGCAGCCAAGTCAGGCTGTTGTTGGACAAGTTTCCACCCCTCTTGTCCTTGTCCCCACAGGCCATGGGTAGTGGACACATGTGCCCTGTACTGTGTTTACTACTCCACCTTCTCTCATTTAATCCTTCAAAAGCCATTCAAGGGCTTTTATCACCCCCATTTTGCCAAGGAGGAAACTGAAAACCAGAGAGGTTGAGGGACTTGCCCAGGGTCATACAGCTTGTGAGTGGTTGAGCCAGGTTTCAGACACAAGCATTCTTCTCTTAACCAAGACAGTAGGTAAGTAGGTCCAAGAGGTTAAACAAGGCAGCATCCTTGGTTCCTTACATAAATAACTAATCTAAGGTGGAAAGCATTCAAAATTTGAGAAGGGAATAGAAAAAAGATCAGGGTAGGGAGAGGCGGTGGTGCAGTGGGACAGGGAAAGCCTCCAGAGATGGTAAGTTTGCACTGGGTCTTGAACAGCAGGTTGGATTTTGATGGAGATGGAGGGGACAAGGGCAGGAACAGCTTGGGCAAAGGCTCAGAGATGGCAAGGCCCAGGGAAAGCAAGAAGGGCCCAGAGGGCTCAGAGGCTAGAGGGAGAAGATCTAGGATGAGACAGGTACAGAATCTTGGGTGCCAGTTAGAGAACTGGAGGTTTTATCCTGGGAGGTAATGGGGAACCATGGGAGGTGTTTGAGCAGGGGAGGAGCAGTCCTACTTCTTGGAGAACTCTCTCTCTGGATCTTATGGAGTGGGCAATACCTGACACCCTGAAGGGAGTTAAAGAGATGCCTCTGCAAAATGGGAATATGAACAGTGAGAAATGAGGTTCTTGGAATAGATAGGCTGAATCAACCCTCCCAGATCCCCTGTCTGTCCTATTGTTTTCCCATCAGGGGAGTAAATACTCCACTTGTTAATAGATCACTTAAAACATGCTGGGCCCTGGGCTAGTGCTGCATTCCTGAACTACAGTCTTCATGGCATCTCTTACTCTCCTAGATCCCTCTGTGGAACAGCCCATCGGTTGTTTTTGGTTTACTTGTTTACTGTCTGTCATACCCACTACACTGTGAGCTACACGGGGCAGGCAATTCCATCTGTTTTATTTACTGCTTTGTCCTTAGTGCTTAAATCAAGGCCTGGCATGTCGTAAATGCTCAACAGACCTCTGTTTGAATGAATGAATGAATGAATGAATGAATGAATGAATGAATGAATATGAGCGAATGAAATAATATATGCTTCAAGGTAGGGATTACGATCCCCATTTAACTGATGGAGAAGCTGAGGTTCAAAGAAGTGAAGAAGCTGAAGATATGGAGGCCAGAGGGCTGAGGTGGATATCCAGGCAGGAGAGAATGAGCCTGGGCTATTGGATATGAGGAGAGACCCACTGGGGCCAAGAGCCATTTGGCATCCAAACAGTACCACCCACAGTCTCTTCCCTCTCCCTTCCCCAGGGTGGACCCCCAGCCCACAGGCCCCTGGCCACTCCCCCTACCCCCCAGTCCCTGTGTGAGGGGGAAGAGGGAAGAGGGCAGCTGGGCCCCAGCCACTTCCTGTTGGGCTTTTGCACTCCCCACAACTTCCTGTGTCTGTAGGCTGATGCTCCGGAGGCAGACAAAACCCAAGCATCCGGCCTCCCAGCCCGGGTAGGGGAACCATGTACCTGGGGCCTCCGGCTCTGGTCCTGGCTCCAGCGGCGGGCTCTTATGCCTTCCCCAGAGGGTCTTGGATAGCCGCAGGCGACTTGTGCGTGACTCCTTGGGGGGCGCAGAGAGGACACGACGGAACAGCGAGCGAGAGGCCGGCTGGCTGCTGACCCCGGGCTCCTGGTGGCTTAGCGCCCTCCCCCAGCCAGCAAGTCGGCCCCAGCGGGACCCTCCAGCTACTTTCTCCCCATCGCCCCCTGTGTGCCAACGGTAGGAGGTTAGCAGGGATGAAGCTGCTGCAGGCTGGGTTTGGGAGGCCTTGCACGGTGATGGTGGGTCCATGGCGGGGGTTCTCCTGAGGGACAAGAAGGTGACAGTTCTACCCAGTGTGTTCCCACATGCTGTCCTCATCTTGGCCCCCTCCCCACTCACAGCTCCACCCCCAGGAACCCCCTCAGTGGCCACCATGCACTCCTTCCCTTACCTTGATTTCCCGACCAGCCCCAAAATCAGCAGCCGTCTTCACACTGCCTGGCTTCCTCCTGCTGAACGCAACTCCACGTGACCCTGTCTGTCCCACCCCACCCCACAGCCAGGCTGGGAGGGCACAGTGGGGGCAGGATGCGGGAGGCAGAGGAGGTGACAGAGCAGGACCCAGAATCTCTCATTGACCGGGAGGCAGCAATGCTGCTCTCTGAGCCTCAGATGCCGTCTCTGCAGAATGTGTACAGACTGACCAAGTGCTGGTGAGAATACAGGGCACCTGGAGCTCTCCTCCAGGGCTGGTCAGAGTGTAGAGCAATTCACCTAAGTTGGAAAACTGACATGATCTCCTAACGTTGCCCATCCACCTCACCTCTGGCCCAGCGATTACGGTGCTAGGTATACACCCAATACACATGCCCACTATCGCTCTTTGTAATAGCCCCAAACTGAAGGCAACCCAAGTGTCCATGTACTGTGGAATGGATCAGTTGTGATCTCTTCCACAGTGGAATACCATGTAGCAACAAAATGAGTAAACCACTGGATGACTGAACTTGTATGAATCACAAACAGCGAAGAGTCAATACCACGTGGTCCCTTTTATATAAAGTGGCAAAGGAGGCAAAACTGTGTGGAACAAATCAGGATGTTAGGTTCCTTTGGAAGAAGGAGGTAGGGGAGCATGAGGGAAGTTTCTCGGAATTGATCTCTTTTTTTTTTTTTTTCCCTAATGGTGGTGAAAGTCACATAACAAATTTAACATGTCCCGTTTCTTGAACTGGGTGGGTGCTGATTGCAAGGGTGTGTTCTGTTGTGAAAATTTATTGAGCGATACAGTTCAGTGCACTTTCCTGTGTCTTCCTCTATCTCTGTTGTACCCCAGTAAGTGTTTACTTATAAAAAGAGGTGGGCAAATGCTGTTCTAAGAAGTGAATGAGTCAGCACGAGATTCACTCGAATCCTGGCCCTGGAGTGGGTTCCAGAGCCAGCTGGTCCTTCTCTCGCTGTGTGACCTCAGGCAAGTCACTTCCTCTCTCTGAGCCTCGGTTTCCTTATTTGTACAACAAGATGATAATATTAGCTCCAGAAGGTTCATAATAGGAGCTTTGTTTACTCAATAAATGTTTCCCGAGTGCCTACTATGTACTAGGTGCTAGAGAAGCCACAGGGAACTAAACAAACTTGGTTCTTGCCCTCCTGAAGCTCAGAGTCCAGTGAGGGAAACAGATCCTGAACATCAATGCAGGACATTTCTAGCTGGTGAGGAAGACTTGGAAGAAAATAGACTGCAGTAGAGGCTGAGCACAAGTGGAAAAATCCAGGAGGGCCTCCCTGAAGAGGTGACACTTGTGGCCCAAAGCATAAGGAGAGGACCATGGGATGAGCATGCCAGATAGAAGGAACAGTTTGTGCAAAGGCAAGGATGACCAGAATTCACAGGATAGGGTGGGTAGGACCACTTTCATGGGCATGTGGCCTGGGCAGTCATCCAGGACCCCCATGCTTAGAAGGGCACCGCACTGCATTTGATTTAATGCTTTGCTGTTGCTGTCTTGAAGTTCCTGCTTTTTGAACAAGGGGCCCTGCATTTTCATTTTGCCCTGTGCCTTACAAATTCTATAACCTGTCCCAAGGAGTATGATCTTCCATGAGGGCCAAAGACCCTTTTTCTGGAGCTGGACATGTTCACACAGATGGACACACCTTAGATATGCCCACCTCTTTCATACTGCACTCAATCCATTCACAGCACACACATACAGAGTTTCCCCATGTTCCGATGTATCCCTGAGCCTTTCCCACTTCACTGAATACTGATCCATTCCCACCTCCCTGCATTTTTGCTGGAGGTCTTTCTCTGACGATGGAGTCCACTTTCCCCATACAATAAGCAACCCAAGGGCACCTGGGTGGCTCAGTTGGTTGAGCGACTGCCTTCGGCTCAGGTCATGATCCTGGAATCGAGTCCCACATCGGGCTCCCTGCTCAGCGGGGAGTCTGCTTCTCCCTCTGACCCTCTTCCCTCTCATGCTCTCTGTCTCTCATTCTCTCTCTCTCAAATAAATAAATAAAATCTTAAAAAAAAAAGAACTAGATCCAAGTCCTTAGACCTTTACATGGGCCCATGTCACTAGTTCTTAAAAAAAAAAAAAAAAAGCAACCCAAAAGTGCCAGAGAATTAATACCTCCCTGAGATCAGCCCTTAACCAATGACGATGAGGGTTGGAGGATCAATACCCCAGCTCCCTCGGATCAGTATGACTCTGAGGTGTGTGTCTTACACTGTCCCCTAGAGGTCCCCAGTGGGATTGAGCTCCATGTCCCCAGAGTGCCAACTTACTTGATAAAGTACCCTTTCTTGGCTGCCTTCTCTTCCCTACCTCTCTTCCTCACTCCCCAACTGATATGACCTGGAAGCACCTTCACCTCCCAAACAAACTACTTGCACTGAAATTCTTGTCTCCGGTCTGCTTCTGGGCAAACACAAATTAAGACAACTTGTGCAGGGCACCTGGGTGGCTCAGTAGGTTACATGTCCGGCTTTGGCTAGGTCATGATCCCAGGGTCCTGGGAATCGAGTCCCACATCAGGCTCCCTACTCAGTGGGGCGTCTGCTTCTCCCTCTTCCTCTGTCCCTCCCCTCTACTTGTTCTCTCTCTCAAATAAATAAATTTGAAAAAGAAAAAGACAACGTGTGCAAACACAGATGATGCATAGATACAGGCTCTCTTTCCACTGTCTCTTTATTGGAGGCCTGTGGCTGGCACAATTATTGGAGGTGGCTCCCTTTTGGATCTCCTGGAGGCCCTCCTGGCTGTTCTTGGTTTCACGTTCTAGAAAAGACAGGGCAGGGGCGCCTGGGTGGCTCAGTCGGTTAAGCATCTGCCTTCGGCTCAGATCATGATCCCAGGGTTCTGGGATCGAGCCATGCATCGGGCTCCCTGCTCAACGGGCAACCTGCTTCTCCCTCTCCCTCTACTGTTCCCCCTGCTTGTGCTCTCTCTCTCTCTGTCAAATAAATAAATAAAATCTTAAAAAAAAAAAAAAAAGGACAGGGGAGTGTGAGGCTTGGGGAGTGGGGGTCTGCCCCTGTCATGGAAAGGGAAGAGGAGGGGGGCCCAAAGTGAGGGGGTGGGTACAATGCTGACTGCTGGCCAGTGTGCAGGTAACATGAGATTGTGCAGGTGTGAATATAGAGATGTTTTCGCAATCGGGGTCAGGGGCTGGGTGGGATCATCAGGCCAAGTTTGTGCTGGCTGGACATAGATTGCTTCACCATAAGAGCTGTCATCAGGGGTCAGGAAGGCTGGGGCTGAGCAAGCATCCTCAGGGCTGAGATTGGGCAGAGGACTGCAGCACAGGGGTAGGGGCTAGATAGAGGTTGCACAGGCAAAGGGGGTTTCTGTAGAGGGTCACAGGCTGAGTTAGTGTTGTGTGGACAGAGGGCCCTTTGGGTAGGAGACAGGAGTGAGGCCATGTTTGGCTAGTCTGGGTGAGGCTGTGTAGGCAGAAGGGCTGCTGTAGGGTCGGGGTCCATGCTTTGGTTGGGAGGGCAGAGTAAAGGACTGGGTAAAAGTCCTTTACTCTGTCGGGGCTGGGTAAAGGACAAGCTGGCCGGGTCAGGGCTGAGCCGAGGCTGTACGGGCAAAGGACGGTGGGTAGGGGCTGTTGCAAGTAGAACGAGTGAAGTCTGGGCCTGGGTTGCCTGAATAGATGGACTGCAAGGGGGACCAGGAGCCTGGCTGAGGTTGTGTGGGCCTAGGGGTTACAGTAAGGAGTCAGGCGCCTGTCGAGGTTGGGCAGGTAGACCGGGGTCGGGGCTGCGCTCTGAACGTGTGCGGAAAGATGCGGGGTCTCGTACTCACCGCAGCGAAGCGCGGCCAGGTGCTCAGCAGTTTGAAGAGCGCGTCCCCAGGGCAGTCAGTGCGCACCAGCTGGCGGTGGCCCAGCAGCGCATAGTCGGGCCGCAGGAGGCCAGCGCGCACTGCGCAGCCAGGGAGCACGTCCTGCATGGTCTGAAGCGCAGCCTTCGCAGGCAGCTCCGCAGTGTAGTTGCCCACGAAGGCCACGCCGAAGCCGCGAGAGTTGTGGCCGAGCGTGTGCGCGCCCACCCAGTGCCAGCCGCGGCCCTCGTACACATAGCCGTCTGAGCCGATCACGAAACTGTAGACGCGAGGGAGAAGCAGGCGCCACGCGGCGTGAGGGAGGCCCTGCCTTTCCCATCTGGGCCCCTACCCCAGTTCTGCCCCTGAGCCAAGGGCCACCTCCGACCCACGTCCCGCGTGGTCTCTCTGGCTCTGCCCCGCCCATACTCTTCCCACTCCCCAAGTGCCACCGCAGAAACTATCCCGTTTTTCTGGATCTGTACGTCAGCCTTGGCCACTCCCCTTTCTACCCAGCCCCCTCGACACTGTCTCAGGTACAGCTCCTGCCCAGTTCAGAGACCTCTTCGGTCTTAGGTCATATTCCATCGATATTCTGTCCCAGACCCAGCTCTTAACACAGGTCCTTCCTCCTTTCCTAGTTCCTACCCCAAACTCAAGAAGCCCACTGCTAAAGCCGGGACCCGAGTCAAGGCCACGCCCCCTCGCCACTTTGGCTCCACCCACCTCCAAGCTCCTCCTCCGTCTCGCCCTGTTGGCTCCGGTCCAAGCCACGCCCCCCGGATCTGGCCACGCCCACCCAGACTATCCTCTAAAAGGTTCGCGAGCCTGCGGGTTCAGTTTACCTGTAGCCAATGTCGTCCCAACCCCGAATATCTTGGTGGAAGCGCTGCATAGAGC